GGGCTGTGGCAGGGGAAAAGCTGGGCTGATAGGCAGAGCAGCTGCAGCTGGGGCAATGCCCCAAACGGAACACAGCTGGCCCTTATAAAAAGGCTGTGAGCCAGACGCCCAGAAGTGTCTCTCTCTCTCTCGGCTGGGAGAGAGCAGGGCCTGGCTGCCTGCAGAAAGGGTACTGGGAGTGAGGTAGGGCTGGGGAAAGGCCAGAGGAGCAGGGGAGCGCCAGGCTGGCAACTCCCCAGGCTGCAGGGCCTGGTCCTAGGCCCAGAGAGGTACTGGGTGGTAGAGGAAGGCAGCAGGTCTGAACTCCCTTGCCTATGATGAGTGGCTTTTACACTGCAGTCTGCCCCAGGGAGTGGGGGCTTGGTGATGACTGTCAGTAGCCCAGACTGAGGCAAGGTGGGGATAGAGGATTGGGGGTTCCCCTCGGTGGGGAGACCCTGAGACTGCAGGGGTATTGCCAGGGGGCAGCACCCCAGAGACAAAAGGCACCAGGTCCTGCAGAGGGCGCTCCTGGGTTGAAGAGCTAATTCCCTGAGATGACCAGCAGGAGGTGCTGCAGGGGTGAGTCCTGCATGGCTACAGTATCAAATATGTATTTTAAATAAGGAAATTCTCCTTAAAAGTCAACACTAACATTCTATCTACATCCCACACATGTTTAGTACGAATAATACACTAATGTTTTGTCACGTGATAGCTCAATGTTTAGTTTCAATAGGGCTCCATTTATTAATTAGTATTACTATTTAGTTCTTTATTTGTAAGCCTATAATATAAACACTTTACAGAATTACAAACTACATATTAAAATTAACTTTAACTCTCAACAAAATGCAGCCACATGTGGGAAACAAATAGTGATATCCTTAATTTCACCCAACTGAGCTCTGTGCTAACTATGTATCTTATAGCCAAATCATGACCTAAACAAGAAAAATCCACAAAATGCCAGGAAACTTCATAAGCTTCAACTTGCAGAGTTTTGTACAAATCATTCTGTTGTGGAGAGAAAGATGTAAGAGTAGCTGTGAGGAAATCAGGCATAGGCGCCAACTCCATGGGTGCTCTGGGGCTGGAGCACCCACGGGGAAAAATTGGTGGGTGCTCTGCACCCACCGGCAGCTCCCCGTCCCAGCTCAACTCCGCTCCGCTCCTCCCTGTAGCCCGCTGCGTCCCCGCTTCTCCCCCTAGCTCCCAGTGCTTGCCGCCGTGAAACAACTGGGGCAGGGATTTGGAGGAGTCGTCCAATAGGGGCAGAGAGGTGGCGGAGTTGGGGCGGGGACTTTGGGGAAGGGGTTGGAATGGGTGCGGGGCAGGGGTGGAGTCGGGGCGGGACCCAGGGCGAGCACCCACTGGCGCCAGGAAAAGTTGGGGTCTATGAAATCAGGACATTCACAGAGGGCAAATGTGTTTCCTCAGAAGCCCAGTGCCTCAGTGCTATTCCCTGGATCAATCCCCTCCCGCACACCATTACAAGGTTCTGAGGGCAGAGTATTATTCTCAATAACATAATGCAGACATGCTATCTTTAACAGGAAAATCGCTGTAGATTTGGAGGATAATGATATTGTGGAGAGTGCTTCTCCCTTGGTCTCCTCCCTGCTAAACCCCTTCAAAAACTTAGGAACCCCAAGTGTACAGGGATTGCTTACAGATGTATCTGTGAGTTAAAGAAAGGAGGGGTTCATGGAGCTAAGGCTCAAACACATCCTCCCTACACCACTGTCAACAAAAATCTGACTTCTGTACTTGAAGCAAGGCGAATGAACTGACCCTTAATGACTCTTAACCCCTAAACTTAATGTTACTTCCATCTATTTCTTAAGTGGTTATTAACAGATCTTTATATGGATGACCTTATTTTTTTCTAGCTATAATAGGTTGTTTTTATCATGTATAGAAAATGTTTATCTATACTATAATTAACTATACTATAATTACTATAATCAACACAATGATTTTAGTCACAAGTTAGGCCTCTTGATATAAGGGAATCATATAAAGATTCTATGTGCCATTACATTTGTAAATAAAATCATGAAAGAAAATACAGCACCGCACATGTGGAAACAGGATTGGGGCCACAGAATGTATCTGAATGCTAAATAAAATCTCGGATAGGCTTCTGAGTTATCACAATGCAATCAGGTTTTTTTTTTCTTGTAATATGTTTTATAGTGATACCTTCATTGTAGTAAATAATGCCAGAAACCATTGAAAATTAAGCAAATGGGTCTTAACAACTATATACGGATAAGAAACTGACTAATAGCTCAGAAAATAGCAATTTTAAGACTGACACCTAAAAAATTGAAATTGAAATCCTTATTCATTCTACAATTAGGTGACTTTTAAAAGAAATGAAAAACACACTTGGTTAAATTAATTCTTAGTGTAACCTCAATGAAATTAACGTACACAAGGAAATAATTTGACTCAGTTTAAGTTAAAAGTTTATTAAACTGATTGTGCCCTTATTTTATGTCTTCCTATCTTTGTGCATTGTCTGATACAACTACTGCATCTTGTTTTAGGCTTGGTCTACAGTCTACACTAACAACTTATGCTGGCATAACTATGTAACTTCTGCTCAGCACCCACCATTTTTTCCCTCTGGGTGCTCCAGCCCCAGACACCCACAGAGTCGGCCTTATGGTCCCACCGGTCCATTCATCTTTTGTTCCTCATAGATCCTCTGGTTTCCCAGTCAAATCAATCCTGTCTCAAACTAATTGTTTGCTGCCACCAGCCCCATCATCTCTTGTCCTCTATCTCCAAAGTTTCTGCTCCAATCCATCCTCTGCCCCTACATATCTCTTCGCAGTCCACCTTTTGCCTTCGCTTCAGTCTCCAATGTATCCTGTACTCCACAGCCAATTTTTTCCTTCATCAGTACATCATTTGCCAATGAGCACCCACCAGTCCTATCAAGACATTATTTAGCTCCCCAATCAACTGTCTCTTCTCATCTCCCCTCACAGACTCCTAATAAAATCTCTTTACCACTCTTCATCTTCCCCTTTCAATGGTTTCTCCTTGTATCTAATCCATCCTATGTCACACTAAACCCATAAAGCAATGTTCTACACAACAGTCCAAGTAATTGTCTGAGACCACCCTTCAGACATCTGATCCTCACGTCCAGCAACCCTGATACCAAAAAACTGATCCTCTATCCCCTCATGAGCAAACTGATCCTGTGATCTCCACAAAGGTTTTCCTCAGAATACTGACCCTGTCTCCCACAAACCCAGCTTTTTCACCCTTCTGTTTACCTTCAGGATTCTTTTCCCTCTAATCTAGAGGAGAGAGACACTTATTGCTGGCAGGAGGCAAGCAGTAGCTTCAGGAGGACACAGGGCTTTGGCCTGCAGAAAAAGAGAATGATGTGGAGGGGTTGTATTAGGACTATGTTGCCTCATACTCCTGGACTGGACTGCTTCTAAGGGCTAGGATGAGAGAATGTTGGCTGTATCTCTTTTTGGTCATAACTATTAAAACAACTGTTCCTACAGTATTTGCACCCTTTACTTCTGGCCTCCCTAGTAAAGAAAACCTCTCTGTTACCTGACATGTGGTAGTGTTAATGGGGACCCACAGAAAGCTAGAGCCTGAAGTGCCTAATGCTTGGACCATGTACACTTGAATTCAACCTTGTTCTCAGGTCAACATGCTGACCCCTAGGGAATGGTGTATGACACACTGTAGTGGGGTCAGTTACTGTATTATATAATCATAAGCCTCTTCCCCTGTGTGTTGCCATAATCATTTCAGAGATGAAGGCAAAAGGGCAAGGGGCTGATTTTCAGAAGTATAGGCACTAGCAGCTCCCAATTATTTCAACTGCAGTTGCAGGTGTTCAGCATTTTTGTAAATCGGGTCCTAAGTTACTTGGTCAAGGCCACAGCGGGAGTCCAGTTAGAACTGGAATTAGAATGCAGGAGTGTTTGCTTTCATTCCAACGTAACAGTGCCATAAAAACATATTTAACAACTGAATCCTATCATAGCCTATCAATTTCTGAGCCCAATCCCCAAATTTTATCACACCGAGTACATGTAAAGCTGCTTTGAATCCCTACAGAACCTGTGCTTCAAGATTGAACAATGTCACAAAAACCTGTATCCAGTATCTGCATCCTGTTGAATCCAGGTGCCAGACACATTTTTATTGTGTATTGGGCCAGGATACATTAGGGTCCACATTTCTGTAGTGAAGTAGGAGCAACTAGCTATTTATTTAGCTTTCCAGGGAAGCAGGAGAGGCTTGCTCTTTATTTAAACTGTTCTCTTTGCACCTTTGGGCCCAAAATGTGGCAAGCTGGATCTAGGTGCCAGAATCATCTTTATTCTATGCTGTTGTGCTGGGATGAGTCAGGATCTAGATATTCCCTGTATAATAAGGAGCAGTTAGACTTGTTTTGTGTTTAGTCAGTGGGATTTGTGGATTCAGGGCACAAAGGTTAACTTCAGGTTTTTGTGGCACTGGGTCCAGATTTAGTGGTGGACTCAGAACAGTTTTACTCCATTCTTTATCTCTGTGATAACTTTGGAGGGTTGGGTGGACCAGACTCTGGAAGGATCCAGGCATCAGGTCTGTGTGTTTGAGGTATGGTTCAATCGTGCCTTGTAGGGGTTGTTTGGTGTGCCCCTCAAGGGCTACAATTGTTTTCTATGCTGCTAGCACAGCTTTGGGCGCAGGATCCCTGTAGACCCAGCTCTTACGTTCTTCCTTTAACAATGAAGCTGAGATGAACCCTAACACTTCTAGGTCCCCCGGACTGAGACAAGTCGCAGGCTCCCGTCGTGACAAGGCGAAAGACTCGTCACCGCGCGACCCCTCAGCTTGTCAGACCCAGGGCGGGAAAAAGGGGCTGGCGGGCAACGCGCTGGGGGCGGGGCGTAAGGCCGTATTGGCGAACCGGGAAGTGGGCGGGCGGCGAAGGCGGAGGGGGCGCGTCAGCCCTGCCTCCTGGATGTTGTTGTTGTGGTCTCTTTAAGCCGGCGGGGGAGGGGAGAGGGGAAGCGGGAGACTCTCGCGATATCAGCCTTGGCGCCGTGACCTCCATGTGAGAGCGGTAGCTGCTGGTAAACACTCCCCGGGGCTCGGACATGGCTCCCGGCGGTGCCCGTTAGCCCTGGCTGCGGCGGTTCGCTCCGGACGCTTCTGCTTATTGTGCTGCTCGCGGCCTCGCTTACACGTCGCTGCGGGCGCCCTCGGGCCGACGGGGGCGGGGGTCTGGTCTCCTCGCCCCTGTGAGCGAGGCCGACGGCCCGGGAGGCTCGGGCTGCACCGCGGCTTTACAATCCTGCCCCGCTGAGCCAAAACAAAGAAGCGGCAGAGGCGCCCCCGCCCCCCACGCAGCCGGAGAGCGGGCGGGAGCCACGGCCGGCAGCCTCCCGAGCGGCCGGCAGCCGCGCACCATGTGGATCCAGGTCCGCACCATAGACGGCACCGAGACCCAGACCATCGACGACCTGAGCCGCCTCACCAAGATAGAGTGTCTGCGGGAGAAAATCCAGGAGAGCTTCCGAGTGAGCCCCGAGCGGCAGCGCCTCTTCTACCGGGGCAAGCAGGTGAGGCGGGAACGCCCCCATACCTGCCGCCACCCCCCGCGCTCTTTGTGTGCCCGGGGGCGGCGCTCCGGGCTGCCCGGCCATGCGAGCCGCCGGCTCCGGCTTTTGTTTACTCGCTCTCGCTGGGCCTAGGGCAGCGTGAGGGGCAGGAGAAGCCGAGCAGCCCGGCTCCCCCTTCCTACGGCTCTGCCGACCCAGGGGCCGGGCGGCGTCCCCGGGAGGAGAAGGTGTCGGACCGACTCCTTTGTGTTTGCTTTCCCAGCTGGACAGCCTCGCGCCTCCCCCCTGCCGTGCCCGGGGATGGGAGGAGACGCGGCGGCTCCTCGAGGCTTCCCCCTTGGCGTCCCCGTTGGCTTCAGCAGGGGAGGCGCCTCCCCCGGCTGTGTAGAAAAGCGGCTTCCAGGGCGGAGCGCCGCTTTCAGGCCCCGCACGTGTGTATGTGGCGCGGGGAGGGGGAGCGGGGGCGTGCGCCTGAGCGAGGTGGGGGTCTCGCCTCCCCGGCCTCGCGCCAAGGATTAACGGTTTTGTGGAACGGTTGGGCCTGGCTATGAACCCTCCCCTCTCTTGGGGGTGGGGGGCCGTGCTGCACAATGGGGGGGGGGGCGGCGCACGTGACTAGACCACGTGGGTACGGGGGGCTCCAAGAAGTCGCCTCTTACCCGCCTTGGCTTTAGTTTCACATGCACGAACTGAATAAGCCTGAGCATAGCTTGCCCCAGCTGGACTTTTGCACCTTGTCTGCACTAGCCCTTCTCTTCCCCCACCTCCTAAACTTCCCGCAGTTGCCGCTTCTCCAGTGGGAGAGCTACCCCAGACAAGGTACCAGTGCTTACTGGTGTCATACCACTTGCATCAGCTGTCCCTGGGTTGAACAGTTCGTCAATACCATGCTTAAAAAACTTTTTGTGAGCTATGCTGTGGCTAGAGCAGGGGTCGGCAACCTTTCCGAAGTGGTGTGCCGAGTCTTCATTTATTTACTCTAATTTAAGGTTTTGGGTGCCAGTAATACATTTTAACATTTTTAGAAGGCCTCTTTCTATAAGTCTATAATATATAACTAAACTATTGTTGTATGTAAAGTAAATAAGGTTTTTAAAATGTTTAAGAAGCTTCATTTACAATTAAATTAAAATCCAGAGACTCCCCAAACTGGTGGCCAGGACTCGGCAGTGTGAGTGCCACTGAAAATCAACTCGCGTGCCGCCTTTGGCATGTGTGCCATAAGTTGCCTACCCCGGGCTAGAGCAATGCTAGGTATTGCTGTGTCCAAAGAGGACCTGCCTGTGTCCGTGGCTATAGCTGTAGATGCTATCATCATCATATAGACATAGGGTAGTGGTAAATGAGGTAATCAGAATGCTGCAAGAATAGTAGAGGAAGGGCATAAAAGACAAAAGGAAAGGGAGGTTGGATGTGATGGCACCAGAGATGTACACTTCAGTGTGGTTGAATCTCCTTTTTTTTAATAGAGTAGTCTGGGCTACCACTGGATTCAGTGTGGCTCTAACCACTATGGCCAGGTTATCTGTCTCTAAAATTAAACTTTAAATTTAACAGATTAGATATGTATTAGTGTGAATAGTAGAAGTAGTCATAACGAATTGGATATAATATTTGTCATCAACAGGTGACCTTTAACATGTTTTTCTGTATCTAGTGCTCCATGGAGTGAGGAAATGTCTGTGAAAGATGCTATATAAAGATTGCAATTCCTATGGCAGGAATGTTAATCTGGAAGTTAAAATTTTACTTGAGGATTAAAGTTATAATAATAATTGTGAAGCCAGAAGCTGAAGCAGAGCTTGGAGCAGTTAGAAGTGGGCAGAGTTGGCGTCAGTTTGACCTTTCTTTCAGTCATGTTGATGTCAATACATCTACCCACTTCCTGAAGGGGAGATTGGGGTCTGGCTTGTTGATTGCAGGGACACAGGGCTGGTTAGAGCAGAAAGTCACAGCTTTTGTTTCCACCTTGATTTTCCCCCCCCCCCCCTTTACCTCTCTTTATTTCCGCCCTGTGCTACTATGGCTGCCTCCTCTCCCCCCCCCCCTACAAAAACAAAAGCAAGAGCTCTGTA